TATTGCTAAGTTGCTCAGGGACCCTCTCTAAGTTGCTGAGGCTAGATTTGAACTTGTGATCCTTCTGCCTTAGCCTCCCAAGTTGTTGAGATTACAGGTATGCACCATTGTGCCCAGCTCCTTTGGCACAGACTTCTTAAAACCCTTGTAATTTACTTTCTTATGTATGCTAATGAGATGATTCAACTGGGAGAAGAGACCCTAGATAGTCAGGTGATTAGAAGATTAGACCTTTCAGTTCCATCTTTGACCTCCAGTGAGGAAAAAGAGGTTAAAAGTTGAATTCACCCAATGTCCAGTGATTCAATCAGTAGTGCCTATTTGCTGAAATCTTCACAACACTCCGTAGATTTTAATGACAGGGAACTTGTGAGTTGTTGAACACCCTGATGGGCTGGTAAGGTGGTGCATGTGGAGAGGGTGATGTAGCTAACCTACACCTCTACATCATCTTGTCCTGTTCATCTCTTCTGTTTGGCCATCCCTTAGTGGTAATCTTTAAGTATAAAGTTTTTCTGATTCTGTTTTTCTAGGAAATTCATGGAACTTCAAGGGAACCCTTGGATTCTAGTAAGCTGGACAGTGTGGGTAGCCTGAGCACTCCATTTGCAATTGGCATCTGAAGCACAGGCAGTATTATAGGGCTAAACCTTTAGCCTATAGAATCAGTGCTAACTCTGGGCAGTGTCAAAACTGAATTGAATTGTTAGACACCCAATTGATGTCAGAGATTAGGAGAACTAGTGTAGAAAAGGAACATGTGTTTTGTGTCTAAAATACGAAAAACAGATGTAAAGTAAGTTAATTAACCATGACAGACTTTGATTTGCAATCCCTTAATAAAAGTATGTGGTGGGGGTGGGGGTGAATGATAAAAACCTCAAGTAGGTTTGAGGAATGAAGAGAATTATATATATATAAATTGCCCAGGGTAGTGTTTGTTATTTAGTAACTATATGTTAATATCCTACCATCATTTTCCACATGAATTTTAAAGGTCAACCAGATGTCTGTGGTATACTGTTTGGAATAAGATGGATAGTAGGGCCAAAAAATGGCTTATGATGGCTAGAAGTTACCTAGTGGAGACATGGAAAGTCCTGAGAACTCTTTACAAAGTGGAGCCTTATCATTTAAAGTATCGTGATAGACACCTGAACAACTGATTCATCCAAGTATTTATCAGTGGTTTAATTTCTTACCTTGATGAATTTTTTTCCTTGAAGAGTTGGATCCAGAGAACTTATCTGGCAAAATATTGGGAAGAGAATTTACATGTTTGATTCATGGGGATCTTTTTTCTACAGCCAAAACTATGGAACAAAACCTAAAAAGAATAGAATTTTTAGTAATAAATTTAATTTCTACTGTTGGTACCAGGGGTGGTTGTGACTGCCCTGAAGTGATCTTCCAAAGTACTGTGTCATCTCAGGAACTGTAAAATGAAAGCTATTCATTAGGACAGAGGCCCAGAGAAGGTCACTAGGTTGAACTAGGGGTAGAGATGGGGCTTTGGAAGTCATGCTAACTAAGGATGATTTCATGGCCTCAGTTGTTTTGCTGAGAGAATAGAGTCTTAAATTTCTTGATTTTTTTTTAAAGGGCTGACATATATAAGGAGAGTCAAGCTAACTCTGGTTACTCTTTTAAAAAATATTGGAACAAAGGATTTATAACAACAAGATGTGAAATCCAGCTCAAGTTATGAAAGACTTTCCTGATGATTAGAAGAATTTAAAAGTCTCTCTGAGAAAGAGTGTGTGTGTGTAAGAGAGAAAGAACTCATTGCTGGAAATTTGAAGCAGAGGCTGTGTGATCTGATGAAAAGTAAGCTATATAGAGCCTTTTCCAATTTTTGCTTTCTAAATTCTTTCGAGTATTTAAAACTATTGAACCACATTGAAATTAGAGAAAGGCTTTTATAACTCAACTAACTTTGGCAAATAAATTTGTTTATTTGTATCCTATATTCAACCCCCTTCCAAAGGCAGGAGACTCTGACATATTGGCTTATAATACATTATATTATATTGAGCACATTGCTCAATACACATACATCTTCAAACTTCCCTTGTCTCCATCCGCCCATCACCAAATTCACCAAATCTGCTCAATTCATCAAATCAGTGTTCTTAATAGCAGATAACCATACCTGAAGTCCTTTGCCTTAGAATGCATGTTATTTTCTTATTTTACTATGCTGTTTTCAACTTATACTTCTCTTTTTATGCAGACTTGAAGAAGATGGGAGGAAGACATTTGTTGAGAAAGACACTGTTAGTTTCCTATTCAGTATGCTTTTCTCCTTTCTTTCTTTCTAACACAATCCACATTTTTGGCCCATCTTCAGTAATAAAAATCATGTTGTCAGACTCCTTTGCAGCTAGAGGAAGTTTCGTGATACTGTGGAGATTTAACTGGAATTCTGCTGAGGATTCTTCAAGGCCTATTCCTACCTTGAGTGTGGATTTGTGATTGGAGCAAAGACAGCTATCTTGAGGCCATCAGAAGAAGGCTGAATGGATTATAGAATTAGCAGCCCTGATATTGGTGATATTATATTGAACAAGTATCAAGAGTTGTCTCCCTCTGGACTTCTTGCTAGATGACAATAAAAAACTATTCATTTGTTTAAATCACTACATTTGGGTCTTCCACTACTTGAAATTAAAAGTATTGGTAATTGATAATTTGCCTGTGGCCTTTATTCAATAGTCAACAACCACTAATAGGGCTTGGGCCATAACTTTATACAAAGGTGAGTGAGACATGGGCCCGACCTTCAGAGAGATCTGAACCTCAGTCTCAAGGCTTAAAGAAGTCAGGCAACAACCCTAATGGGAAAAGTGAAATATTCTGCTGTGTCTTTCCACAGCATAAATGGGCTATAGAGCTATGGGGTGTATCTACTGGAATGACTGGAGAGCTGCTGGGTCAGGAAGAAGCTCATTTAACCTTGCACTCGAACTCTGCTCTCTTCATGTACTTCTGAAGGTTGTGCTGAGGTATTGGTGGCTTTGGGACTTGGTGATTTAGCTGTTGAAAAGAAAGAGTTATTGGCATTGTTTACCCAGGTTTCATGAGAATGTTAAATAGTACTAATTTTCTGAGTATTTATTTAGCTTTGTTCGTTTAAAAGGTACATTACCACTGTAAACTGTGAATATTTAGAGATTTCTATTTAAAAACCATGTGAATGCTCTTTGTAAGATATGTTTTCAAAGTGACATTTTTTCCCAAATACCTTTATGGTCATGTATTAGTATTTTCAGACAAAATTATATATATATATATAAATGTGTGTGTGTGTCTATATATGTATATATATATTCTTTTCAAAACTCTATGTAAATGATGTCTTTAAAAATAGCCTCTATAAAATAAAATCTTTAAATAGAAAAAAATCCCCAGAGGAAATACACCAAATGTTCATCTAATGCCATTGAATGTTGGGATTTTATGTGATCAAGAAAATCTTCTTTCTACTTTTCAGACTTTATTCTAATTTTATTGTAATTGGGAAGCATTATTTTTATACTCTAAGAAGAACAAGTATAAGGAATTATGTATCAAGTAATGACAAATGAATTGACATAGAAACAGCAGAACCATTTCAATGTGTGTTTATATAAATAGATCTATATAATTATCATTAAGTATCATAAGCTCATACTGCTTAAAAAGAACAGTTCTATTTACATAAATTGAAGTTGGATTTTATTACAATATACACTCAATAAGTTAGATCCTATTCTAAAGAGAACAAGATAATGGTGATATTAAAGCCACTATATATAATATATCTGTGTATTATTTCTCTGTGCTTTAATGACTGTATATTAAGTAGACACATATCCAATGCTTTTGGTATCATTAATCTAAAAATGCTGATACTTTGTTTCTCAGACCTTGAATAGGGAGAGAGGACAATGCTGTTACTTATCCTATTATATGTTAGATTCCAGAATCTTCCATGTGTGAGCCATTTACCTGAATGGAGGACATTTGATTCTGAAATCTATAAAAGTACTATAATAAGACCATTCAATTGTATATTTTACATTTCAAAGTCTAAAACTTTTAATTTGAAATGATGAACAGTGTTAAAGCTCGGTGATAAAGGCATTTTATCAATTTACCTACTCGAAGATTTTACTCTCACTTGAGGTACAAAGATGATTAGGTTATGGGTACTGCATCACTAGTGTTTAATGCTGGGAGTTGGTTGGTGAAGAAAAAGCAGAAAAGCTTGGAACACGGGAAACCAAGAGAGAAAAAGGAGCTGTGCTGTGACTGAACATGTCCTTTGGAAGGCAACTGTTGCTTGAGAAAATCAGAAGATTGAGAGCCGGGTAGGGGATGGGGATGAGAGCGGGGTGAGGGATGGTGCACACCTGTAATTCCTGCTACTAGGAAGGCTGAGGCAGGAGAAATGCAAGTTCAAGGCCAGCCTCAGCAACTTAGTGAGACCCTGCCTCAAAATGAAAAATAAAAAGGACTGAGGATGTGGCTTTGTGGTTAGGTGCTAATGGGTTCAATCCCCAGGACCAAAAAAAGAAAAAGAAAAACAGATAAAAGGAAGAGGTTGAGAACAGAAGCCAGTATGTGAAGAGGGGAAGTGAGGCAGACACTAGGTTTGCTGGAACCAGAATTCATGTCTCCAGACTCCCAGATTATTACCCATTCTACTAAAGCATGCCGAGATTTCATGAGTACAGAATTTTATTAGTATCAAAAGTTCAGTAATACCCACTTTATATTCCTCAGGAAGAGCAACATGTTCAGCCTTTACAACCCCTTGATAGACCTTATTCACCCTGTTTCTCAATCATGTGCCAAGGCTCAGTGAAAACAGGGATTCTAATTTTATATATAATTATTCATGTGCATGGTCACCTGCCCGTATCCCCAATCAGGATTTTATTCTCTCTAAAAATAAGGTCATGTATCATGGACCTCTTTTCTTCCCTACCAGTATTGGCCCTTTTGTGTGCACTTGCTGTGCACATAGCATTTCCTACTTTTTCCTCTTCCCTCTTGGAAAAATCTAGATAATTGGCTAAAATTAGGCTAGTTAAGGTTAGTCTCTTCCATCAAGCTGTGCCCTTCCATTCCTATCAAATTGTTCATCCTCTGTAAAGCCCAAATGTCCTGATTGCCTTGCAATTCTTTATTTCTGGTTCCACCAATATTAACTGTCTCTGGATCTTTTTCAATCATATGTGCCCAGATATATTCCTCAGACCTGCTATCAAAATGCTATTCAGCCGGAATGTAAAACCTCTATCTTCTTCAGGATGCCCTTTCCTCTAATTGTTCTGCAGTAAGGTCTGTTTTCCAACTAAATCTCATATTTCATAGGGCCAGAAACGAGGTTTGTCTGTCTCCCAACTTCCTCCCAAATTTCCAGGTCATCAATCATCCTCAGTGGAATACATATACTCTTCTGAGGGTCAGGCCTCCTAATTCTGTCTCCTTAACCTTCTTTACCATTGCCCACTGGCCTCTCCCATTCAAAGTTTGGCATATGGGTGCAGGTTTTGTTTTATGTGAATTTCCTGAGTATCAGTAATCCCTGCTATGAATAAGCCTTCAGTATGAGAGTGAATGCTTCAGTTGGCTACACAGGCGTTTATAGCTCCATTTTGAGCAGGACTACCAGGAGTAAAGCCAATTCTAAGCGAGGAACGTGGGCTTTCAAGAGCAAGCTGTATGCTGAGTGACAGATCCCAGGATACTTTCTAGAACAGCTCTAGGGCTCCAGGGAAACAGGAGACTTTTCAAATAACTGCAGCTCTATTCAGGTAGGATCTTAAACTCCTGGACCATAAGTTGAAAAAGAAGTTGTTTGTTTCAGGTTGCCCCCAGGGCTCAGCTGGAACACTGTAGTGTGACAGCAGCCTTTAAAGAGGAAAAATATTCTAGCTAATCAGGGAATAGCTTCTCTACAAATGAAAAAAAAAAAGTCTTTCAATAATAATATTACTAATAAAGAAAATCCAGAGAGTTCCAGGAGGCTGTGATAACAAAGCACAAATATAATTTTTGGTGAAAGGATCTCAAAATAGTTTCCTCCCTAGTTTCAACTGCTAGCGAGTCTGCCTTTTCTCTCCCAGCTTAGCTTTGTGTGTGTGTGTGTGTGTGTGTGTGTGTGTGTGTGTGTTAGATTTGACCTGCAAGAGAAGATCTTTGCTTTTCATTTCTGTCGACTGCAGGAGTTTCTTGCTGGGCATTGCTTTTGCTGCATCCCTTTTAATGGCTGACCAAAGAGATAAGTGCTGGGGGTAAGGGAGAGAATCGACTTATTCAGAAACCTGAATAATTCTCAGTCCAATGAATGGAGAGGCTGGTCTAGGAGTCAGCCTTGCACCTTCCCTATTACTGCTTTTATCATCCAATGATCGTATTGGGGTGCAAGGGTGATAAGAAATAGGCAGAATGTTTTCTGAATATTGAATCTATCCTTGATACATAACAGTGATTGCAAGTGGTTCCTTAAAATGTCCTAAAAAGCCTACAACTAAAAATCTTGAACTTCGAATTCTGATCTTAGCTCCGATTTGATTCATAAATGTGATAGCCTGAAAGAGACTTAGGATGGTCACAGAGCTGAACCCTTTCGCTTTACACACAAGCAGATGTGAGGCCCCAAGAGAACAAAAGTGACTCATGCCAGGCAGTGCAGCTCTTCTCTTCATTTTCATCTTCGTAGGCTTTTCTCCCCAATAACAAACTTAAATTCTCTAATATTCATTCCAATTATAATGGTAAAATTCTTTTCTCTCTTCCTAAGCCCACGAAGTTTTTATTGATTTGTTTTTCTAAGATGTCACCTTATAGTCTTCATCTCTCATTTCACGTCATTTTTATCAAGTAAGACACACAAGTTCCTGGGGACACTTGATGCTCAGAAGTCGTCATATGACTTGCCGAAGATAAAAGAAATTGGAAACAGAAGCTAGAAGTGACAAAACTCCAAATCTGTGTTTGAGGTCACTTTCAAAAGGAGGTGGCTTTAGACTGGGGGAGTCATTGTTACTACTCACACTGTGCATTTGACAGTATGGAGCCCTGAGCCACTTACTCCTGTGCCCCCTGCCTGCAGGTCAAATTGAGGCTAACCCATGCTTTATATGGCTTGCTTCTTGATTTCACCTTTCTTACTCAATTCTTCTATTTGCCATCTTGCATTACCTAAATATATAAGTAAATAAATATAAAAGGCTGATGTTTCATTCTCATCCCCTGCTGTGTAAATTCTTTCTTCTGAATAGGAAGAAGACAAAACGGAGCAGAGCACAGTCACCATAAATCCTTTGGTTCTCCTCTGGATTTGACCAGAGGGCAGAGTGTAGATTTCCTTTTCAGAGACAGACCAGGACTTCATACTTTTCTTCACCGTTCCCTAATCACCTCTATTACTGAAATCTTTTTCTTTTGTCTTATATCGCAGCATTCTATCCTAAAAGCCAATTTACTTTCTTTGTGTTATGGGTTTTTTTTTTTAACTTTGTTTTCCTTGTTTTATGATTCTTGGTCAGAATGTGGAGTGTCTTTGAATTAAAAACAATGAGGGTAGGGATGTTTATATATATATATGATCTCAGTGGTAGGGCTTAGAGGAATCTGTATATTAGGTAGGCAGAAATAGGTGAATCTTGTAATGAAGAAAACCAAATAAACCCAGAAATCCATTCCCTGGTTTGAGACTTGTGTAACTGTAGCAATGCTGGTAAAGATACCTCTTAAAAGAAGGGTTATCAACCCAAAGGCAGGAGTGCTGGGTAGTTCTTTTTTACTTAAATTCTGATCTTCGTTATCATAAAAGTTTCAGAGGACACAATCACAACAATATAGCTTAAACATATTACTTAGCTTTATTTTTGATTCTAGAATCAGGTGACACTTCATTCCATAAAGTATAATGAATGTTCTAATAAGCTCAGCAGAGGAGGTTGACTTTATAGAAAGAAAAGGGATGAAGAAAGCAGAAACAAAACCCAAATGAAACAGCCCGTTGATTATTTCAAAGTTGCTTCTCTTTTATAGTAGGGACCTAGAGACTGGGAGACTGAACAATAGAAAAATCACTGATTAGTTAACATTAGGTTGCTTCAAGTTACCTTTCTTTGTGTAGATAAGGATTAAGGCTGAGAGAACTTCATTATCATACCAATTGTAACTACACTGGCCTCTTTGGGAAATTTGGCAGTTCTCTGTCCAATGCTGATTTCTTGGGAGTTCAGATAAAAACTTAATTTCAGATTGGTGACATAAAACTTTAGCCTGAGTAGTAACTCCATTTTGATTCATAGCCTGGCCTGTTGGGGACCAGTCAGCAGCTTAGTCCAAAACAATGGCCTCCTGTAATTTTAATTTAACACAAGTCAGAGTAGTAATATACCAGTATAGTTTATTTTTTGAGAGAGCAGTTTTGATTTTTCTGTGTCTCGTTCCTATGTGAAAAGGTCATTTTGTAACACTGGAGGTGAGAATGTTGAAATGATTTCTTTTATTTATTTCCAGTAGTAGATCTCTGATCTTTCCAAATGATTCATGAAAAGTAAAACATTAACATGGGGTTTAGACTTTTCTTTCTTTCCTTTCAAAATAATTTTTTGAGTAGCATTGGCTCCCAATTCTATAGTGTGACTTTGGGTAGATAATTACTATAGAATACTGCAGACTCTTTTTTTCCCCTTTCCCTGTAGGGTGATTGATTTTAACCTTTCTCCTCTGCCAAACCTTTGTTCTGTGCATGACATTTTAACCCCCACTACTTCCTATGTTCTATTTTG